TCTATCAAATCTAATAGACTTTTAAATAAAAATTAAACAATTTTTAATAATCTTAATCAAATTTTAACCAATATAAAAGAAATTTAAAAGGATTTACAAAAAAAACACAAAGAAGTTATAAATTAATTTAAAGAAAAATTATAAAAAAATCTTTAAAATTTTTAAAATAAAATTATAAAAAAATAATTATTATCTTTAAAATATATATATATATAGAGAGAGAGAGAGAGAGAGAAAGAGAGAGAGAAAGAGAGAGAGAAAAAAATAATAAAGAATCCTAAAAAATATTAAAAATATAAATCTCAAATTAATCTTAATTAAAATCCTAAATCAAATCCTAATTGACATCCAAATGAAACATAATCAAATCTTATGTCAAATCTTAATGAAATCTTAAATTCTAATCAAATCCTAATATAATCTTAACTAAATCTTACTAAAATTTTAGATCAATATTAATCAAATTTTAAATTCTAACCAAATCATAACCAAATCTTAATCAAATCCTAATCAAATCTTAAAAAATCTCAAGAAAAATCCCAAGTAAATCTTAATAAATTATTATTATTATTTAAAACCTCAAAAAATATTAATTGAATTTTTGATTTTTACCACAATATCACCTAAACTTCAATCAATAAGCAATGAACAAGCACATAAATTTTGAAAAGAATTGATCTTACCAATTCAAACAAAAGCTTTCAAAAACCTTTTGGATGTTGGTCGTCTTCCTTCTCCAACTTAAATATTGATCTTTCAATAAAGATTTTTCCTTACTAAACCATTTTATTGCTCTAAAAATTAGGTTGTATGTAGGTATTCAAGTTTAAATTTCTTTCACTTAATTTTGCTTCAATCAAACAAGAATTTATTTTAGATTTCTAAAACCCTCATTGATCCTAAATTTCAATTATCTAAGATAATAATCCACAAAACTCTAATAACCTTCAGTCTAATTGCTTGATTGACATAAAAATATTTACTTGCATTTAAAACAAGCACATTGACAACATCACAAAGTTTCATCCATAAATAAGCTACAAAACACATAATATCTTAAAATTTGTGAACTTATTTTAATTTTTCAAAATCTAAATCCACCAATTGTATTTCTAACTTTGAAAATCCTTCAAAACCTCAATACTCATCCAAATAATATGAAACCAGCTCTCAATTTTTTTTTTTTTATAAGTCTGCTTCCTAATTCCATTCTTCGATTCAAAAAAAAATCTGAAATCAGTGTAGATTTATGGTTTTAAGCCTTGAGATGTGATTTCAATTCTAGCTCATAATTGATCCTTTTAAAGAATCAATTCTTAATAATTTGAGGTAATTTTTACTTTAATATATTATTAATTCTTTTTTAAACATGTTTTTTAATTTTTTATTTCATTTACTTTGATTTGAGGCATTAATATCTTTAAAAATTAAATAAAATTTCTAATTACAAAAAACTATATTAAGACTAAAACATTTACTATCTTCCTATTATTTATCCTTATTTTTTTTATTAGATATTTTTCCTAGATTCTTCTATAATAAAAACCATATTTTTATTTTTTTATCATATAGTTGCATTATCACATGACAAAAAATCATAAGAACTTCAAGTATTTCATGTCAATATGTATTTTGAATCTTTGTCAAGATTATTGGAATATGTCATTATCAAGATTTGATTTCAAAATCACTTATCAACCAAAAAAGCAACAAAGTTTATTAGATGCCCTTACTATATCTTGTATCAAAAGAAAGAGATACAAATTTTGACCAACAATAAACGATCCTCTTGAAGCTAGAGTAATTTCATCTACAAGCAATAAAATCAACTTTAATTATTGATTTAACTTTTATTATGTAAGTTCAGTCGAGTATGCATTTAATCTTCTTGTTTGTGATATTAAAGAAAATTCTTTAAAATCTCATGATACTTTTAAATTTGAGTCTAAAAAAAATCTATTCCATTTTGAAGGACACTTATATGTTCCAAAAGATGAAATACAATTACATATTCTTCAAGCTTGTCATAACATTTGAACAATATAAAATTTTGGATACAATAAGACTTTAAAGCTAATGTCTAGAGATTTTTGGTGGCTTCAAATGTGGAAGGCAATCAAAAACTTTGTACAATCATATGATATTTATTCAAGATCAAAAACTCCTCGTTATTGACTTTACAAACTTCTTTAGCTATTATTTATTCTTGAATAATAATAATCTTTTGTTTCTATGGATTTTATCATGTATCTTCTAGTCTTAGATTTTTATGAATTTATATTTGTAATAGTAGATTAATCAATAAAATGATATATTTTGTACCATGTACAAAATTTATCACAAATAAAGATTCAACTAAGGTTTTTCTTGACAACATCTATTGCTATCATAGATTATTCATGGATATTATATTTGATAGATGGATTCAATTTATATCAATGTTTTAAAAAATCTATTTTAAAATTTTAAAGATGGATATAAAATTATCTTAAACTTTTTATCCTCAAATTGATGGATAATCAAAGCAAATAAATCAAATTTTGAAGTAATATTTGAGATGTACCATCAACTATCAATAAGATGATTGAATAATATTTTTTATTGATAGAATTTGTTTAAAATAAGATAATATATTTTTTTATTCAACATACATATTTTTTTTTATCAATTATGATTAATATCTACAATATGATACTTTTAACTTTTCAAAAGTTGATAATCTTGTGGCAAAAAATTTGACAAATCATTTGTTAAAACTACATGTAATAATGAAGGTATAACTAAAAGAAGCTCAAAAATGACAAAAGATTAATAAGAATGCATATTGCGAGGAAAAACTTAATTGAATCTTGGCAACAAGGTATGGGTGTTTTGTTGTAATATCAAAACTACTTATCATTGTGATAAGTTGGATTACTAAAGATTTAGAATATTTCCTATTTGTGAACAAATCAATCTAGTAGCTTACCAATTGCATGTACCAAGATCTTTTATATGTTCCATATGTCTCTTCTTGAGCTATATAAGACAATAGATATACGAAAAAGACAATAAATGCCACCTCCTTATATAAAAATGGATAATAATCAAGAGTATGAGATCAAAGAAGTCTTAGACTAAAGGTGGTGCCAAAATAGGTTAAAATATCTTATTCATTGGCATGGATATGATATTAGTAAATGCACATAGAAGTTATCCAAGAATATTACAAATGCAACAAAGAAGATTGATGCTTTTCATTGATGTCATCCATCAAAACTAAAATGAATAATAGCAAATATTTGCTATGAAAGAAATATCATTTAACCTTTAAGACAATGTAATAGAAATAAAGACCTTGAAGAATGACATATTCTTCTTAAATAAATGGTGAAATATAATACATTTGGTGCTATAACATTAGAAGGGTTTTTGATTTTTGATAATTTTATTGGAAGTAGAAACAACTCCTGACAATGTTTCCAGTATTTTATTTAAAAGAAGTTATAATAGCATCAAAAATAATTAAGTAATAGAATTATTTTTATCCCTAGATATGGCATATTATCAATACTTGACAGAATCTATTAACATCCTTTAAAGGAAACAAAGATCAAAATATATATCAAAAATATATTAATGACATCAATTCAATATTAATTCAATATTAATTCAATATCTTGTATCAATGATATCAATTCAATATTAGAATCCAAATAATAATATTACTTCTATGGTATATAAAATTTGATGTAACAAATTTATTTTAGAATTTAAATTTTACATAATGTGTAAAATTTATAGCTAATATATAATTATATATCATATATGAATTCAACAATAAATTGACTTTACTTCCAAGTTCATTACACTTCAAATGCCTAAGCATGTAGAATAATTACAAAATCTCTAATAAATATTATTTTTAGAAAAATAAATTATAAAAAAGTAATAATAAGGTTGATGTTTTAAATATTTTTTAATACTTATAATAAAGTCTATAAGTCAATCTCTACAAAATGGATGGCCTACATAAATTTTTATTTTTCATGAGTTAATTAAAAAAATAGTATTAGAGCAATATTTTTTTTTCCAAAAAAGGTCTTTGGATTTTTGATCATGTTGGCCAATAATAATATTATACTATTACATGGTGATAGAAATAAATAGAATTCAGAATTCGAAGAAGTCAAAAATAATTTATGAGTTTTTTTACTCTAAAGAGCTTATGAATTTTTGATCTATCACATTGTATTAGAAATATGACATTTTATTAACACAGGAGTGAAAAAATAAGTTACTTCTTAAATATTTCTTTTTTATTTTATTTTAAATGAATAGTCCTATTCTTTGAATAATTTTTTTGTATTAAATATATCATTAGATTCTTCATGGTTTCAACAACTTTCATAAGATAATAAATTATGGCAAAAACTTTAGGATCAATAAATACTTACTTACAAAATTATGTACCAAGATTAAACTATAAAATAATCTTTTGTGTAGATACAAAAAGATATATATATATATATATATATATATATATATTTATATATAGGGGAATGTTAAATAAACCCATGTTTTTACTAAATTGACCTATTTATGATGAAGAATATGGTAATCATGATGAATGTGGTTGGTTTTCATTACTTATAGATCTACTAGTAGAGAAACAAATCTATAAGTCATTTTATTTTTCATGATGGATGGATTAATTTAGTAGAAGCTTAGGTCTATTTAACATTTCCCTCATTTCTCTTGTGTAAAATTCGGAAAGGATGAAATAAGCTGAAATTTGATGAACAGAGCCCTATTCATCCATAAATGAGTCGAGGAGCACGATCAAAAACTGCTTAAAACAAGACATACCTGCATAAGGCATTCATTCATTCAGCCAACTCTGATTCAGATGGATGAAGAGGCACATCCTACAAATCCGAGATGGACTAGCGAATGAAATACATCAAAAAATGTCATCTCGTACATCCAATTGTGGGAGTGTTATCTGCTCGCCTTCACAAAACCCCTATGACAGGTTTTTGCTCACGAGCCTGCAAGCTCCTCCTCGATTCCATGCGCCATTCAACCCACGGCGCTGTAGGAATCGTGACCTCCGCATGCAATCTACGTTAAGACAACGTTTCCTCGTAGGAAATTGTGCTTCCGCTCCGAATTTCGTTTGTGGGTTGTTTTACGGGGAGGAGTTTCACCTGTGTTTGGATACTCTGTTGCGGCCTTTGATTGGGAGGATCCGCAATGGCGTCGCAGTGTCACCTTCTTTCTGTGCCCTCTTCTACGTCGCGGTTGTGCATTTCAGCTGCTAGCTCGGCCTCATTCTCTACGAATTGTAATGCTGGAGTTAATCAGGTGCAATTTGTGGTGATCAACTCTCCTATTGCCATGCGAGACTTGCTTGTGCTTACTAGCTCCGTTTTTCTCGAGCCCTGATTCAAGGTCTTTCTTCTTATCTGGAACTGTCGTCTGAGTTTTTGTTAATTTTGTCCTCCTCTTCTTAACCGCCAGTCCCTTTCCATTTACACGGTTTGTTTATTTGTTTTCTTTCTGATAGAATTCTCTCGGAATAGGAATGCAAGCACAATCTCTTTGATTTACAACAAAGCTTATGCATCATGGTACCGGTGAATATGGCTGATCTTTTCGTAATGTGATGTATGTTGCTCATTGAATATTTCTTTCATGTTCAGCCCTCTGTGTTCCTTCGGGGTCAGCGAGTTCAATTGCAGCGGCTCTCCAAACCTTTACACCTGTTAAACTTAAGAACCCCCGTTCAATGTGTGTCGTCCACTTTTGGTAGTTCGTCGAACAATGGGGAAGAGACACAAGAAAATAATTTACTCGCCAACATCATGGCTAAGGCTCCGGAACCAATTAGGGTTTTCCCTTGGGGAAAAGCGGGAAACTTGTTCGTGCAGAGGCTTTTGCACCAGTTTTGGACTGTTGGGAAATATTTGGCAATTCCGGTGTTGGCAGCGTCGATGCTGAGTGAGCTCTCGTACACTTTGCTGCAAGAGAAGGTGCTCATTATTCCTGCTGGTATGATTGGTGGATTTGCTTTCGCGGGGATGATGAAGGAAACAGCTGTCGAGCTAGCTGCAGACATTGAAGTAAGCTTCGTCTTGCCCGTGATGGTCGAACATATTCTGGAATTCTTTCTGCTTTACCCTTTGAACTTGAATACACTCTGACGCACAACGTGAATGCAGTTCGTGCTGATTAGTTTTATTCGAGTTTATAAGGAGCGAAGCTCAATAGTTTTACATTTCGACATATTAGCCAACTTACCAATACCAAACGCCTCGTATGGAGCACAAACAGTTTGCACTTCATTTTTAGTTACTCTGTTAGAGGACCTGTGTGTGTCCGTCGTCCTTCAATTTCTTACAGCGAAAACGGTTTTTAACTCGTCGTTCTATTGTATTCTACTTATGAATGTGGCGAGCTATATCTTGCAGTTTCCTGACGAACCAACTGGCTATTGCGGGTGCAGGTTGGTCAGTTTCCTTGGCACCTTGTTGCGTTAGGCTTCATGTTTGGAGCTCTCAAGTTTATTGGCCCATATCTTCCTGCGTGGGGCCGGGTCAGTGTTCCCCATTTTGCTAATGGTGGATTGTGGCATGTGATTAAACTTGTCATTGACTGGAGAAGGCAGCAAGCTGAGAAAACAAAAGTAAGATCGAGGTGATTTTACAGATACTGTATTTCTAGTTCACAAGTTCACCAGGTCTTTGTATGAAAGTTTCTGTTCACGTTCTTTTTGGCATGGAACATAAGTGCTTTCGGGGTCTGTTTGTAGCCATCTGTCCTTCTGATTAATGACGTTCTTTGCACTTGAGGCATTTGTCACTGTTGTATGATTGATTGCTTGAAACGAGTAACTGTGAGTGCAAGATTACAGATCAAGTTCGCACAGTGTCCGCCGTGAGCCAACTCTTTTAATGGCTTGCTGATGTCGATTCTGCCATGTTTATTGCACCAAACTGGCCTTATGACTGTAATTATCCACAGTGATTGTGCCTTCGATGACAGCTGAAATCTTCACGTAACGTGTAGCACTGATCAATCTCTGTGAATACAACCAATGTGTTATAACTTTTTACTTAAAAAATATCCATTGAGTGGCTAGGTTTGGACTTCAATATGGTCTTGTTTGTGAACTTGGAACATGTGTAAACTTCATTGACAATTTACCAGTTCAACTGTATAATTCAATTTTGTCACGAATGGGATTTTGTTGATCGGTTGTCTTGGATTGCTGTTTTACTCGTTACGATTTGTCACTTGAGCTTCATAGTGGGACAAATCTCGTACTGTATATATACATATAAGTAAATACTATGTTTATTTTTACTTTTTATTAGTAATACTAATCAGATTGAAAAGTAGTATATTATCAGGTTGTGCATCAAAATTAATTGTTCTGCTTGGAACAGTAGAATTTGAAGAGTATTTGCTCATTTTAGAAGAATCAAAAGAGGCCAAGATATTGATGGTTGCAAATGACAGCGGTCGCTTAAATTTTACGGTGTTAATTTATGAGGTATTAAAATTGACGAATTGTCTAATTCTATTTTTACCGGTGGATGCTTTGTAATAATTTAGATTTCAATCAACACAGTCTAAAATTAGAACATTGCAAATACTGGAAAAAACTTGTCACGTTCACTACATAATATTCTTCATAGATTCAACTCAAAAACATTCAACATATGCTCATTCAAAAAGTTGATGGGCGACAAGAATGTTGATGAGAGAGGTAAATGGTGTTTCATTAAATTCACAGGATCCACGTTATTCTGTTTGCCGTCTATCGGTGCTTTCCCCATTGGCCGTTAACTGGAGAAATGGTCAAGTTTGCACGGAACTGTACATTCGTTCACTAGCTCAACGAAAATTAGTCAGGAAGAGATCTTTCGATGGGAGGGGGGTGATTCACTTGTACCTGGCTGGTATGCTAAATAATCCCCTGCCGTCGATCTCACATGCAGGAGTCACTTCTCTCCTTGGCGCTCAAGGAAGTCTTTTCCAAGAAGAGGATCAGGTGCTTGCAAATTTGTCAAGGCACATGCTGAGGAGGACCACTTGCGAAATGTGTCTCATTGTTAGTTTACCAGATCCCGATCATGCGTTCTCCTCCTTCCTGAGCACTGGCTCGGAACATGCTTGGAGTGTTGAAAGCCATGGCTACCTCACCAGACGCTGAGACCGCAATCAATCCCCCCATGTTCTCTGGAAGCTTCTCATGAATTACCTTGTAAACGGCTTTGCCCAGGGGCAGCTCCTTATATTCCATCATGGCTGCAACTTCTTTGGCAACCGTGTGTTTGATGAACTCTTCGCCTCGTCCAGTTCCTGACACTGCGCAGAGGTGGTTTGCATAGGTTCCTGCTCCGACTATGGGCGTGTCGCCTGTACGACGAGGTTTGAAAAAGCTACTCAGGTAAAGATCGTGAGCGTATCAAGCACAATTTGCTTTTATCTGATAACATAATTATTATTTCAAGTTATATGTACTCCAGGAGAAGGAAAACTGAAATGAAAGCTTCTTACCAATTCTTCCAGACATCTTATTCACAAGTCCCCCAGTGGATGTAGCTGCTGCACAATTCCCTAAAGAATCCACTGCTGTACAACCTACGGTCTCAAATTCTGCCTTAAAAACTTGATGAAGGGCTCCTTTCTTTCTATGTACGTGACCACAGTCAAAATGACCATTAGCCTTGGCGTGCCCGTTCTCCCAATGAATTACAGGTTGATGATCAGAGTGGACGATGCCGTTGCCTTTGTTGAATGAATATTCATTATCATTATTATTCATCACGTCAGGAGCGTGCTCGGAAAAGTCCAACTGCACGACAAGTACCAAAACAAATATCAGCCCATAAATCATAATTAAATTTTTGAGTGTCGTCCCTCTTTTCGGAACATCTAAGACCAGCGGCTACTCCACTCTTTTAGCATACATTGTCCAAGTGATAGCAAATGGCGTAGGGTCTGCATCTACAACACTTCTTACCTCCACGGATTTCGTCTTCTTTGCCATCTCCAGCTTCTCTCTGTTCTCATCAGTTATGAAGGTCTCGGTATCCACCATCTCAACTCCCTGCGGAACTAAGAACACTGTAAATGCATGTTGAAGAAGATATTGCGGGGGCAGCGAAGATGTCTATATTCCTTTCGCACAACATGATGAACCGCCAAGCAAAAATTTAATATTGCAAATTGATCCTTAATGATTGACATGCCTGTGCAGAAGATCACTCTGAGCTAAGTACGAATTCAATACAGGACCAAAGTTTCAACTACATCTGTCATAAGAGTTTTAACCGCTCACACTGTGAACAACGTCAGGATTGAAGAGCATTTTCTGACCTGCTGTCTCGCAAACTCCTCTGCTCCATTAAAGGCGAGGTAAACGTGAGGGGAGTTGCTCATCACTAATCGAGCCAGTGAGACGGGATGAACAACGGTGGACAGTCCAGAAACGGCACCGCAATTTTTTGTTCTCCCATCCATTATACTCGCCTCCATCTCTACGGTGCCCTTATTCGTCAGCACAGAGCCTTTACCAGCGTTGAATAAGGTATTATCTTCCAGTGCCTTCACCTGCACTCAGTTTTGATAATGTGTAACTCTTTTCGTGATCTGAGAGAGAGGAACTAGCTGCGATGGGTATAACAGCTCGGTAACATGAATTCTGACTACTACAGAGACGTAAAGAGAATCTGGTCAGGAACGCCAAAAAAATGTAGCATACAATGACAGCTCCTTTCCAAGTTGTTGAGGAATTTGGAGAATTACACTCACCACGAGCTCTACAGTTTCCAAGGCAGTAAGCTTGTTTTGTAACGCAGTAATGCCAATGTTCAAGATCTCATTGAGAGCTTCTTCAGTGCACTTCTGCCAATCTGCACTCATCTTTTCCTGGGCAATCATTCCTGCACCACCGTGAAGTGCGAGCGCCCAGGCACCCATGGTGTTTGTTCTGATGAGACTTTAAACCACAGAAATGTCAAGGGAGGACACTCAGCCACTCAGAGCCTACAGTAGACAATTCCACGCTCACAGCTACGCCCAACTGCTTGAGCGTACCTTCGAACAAAATCAGCAGCAATACCGTGATTGAGTTCTACACTTTCCCGTGAAAGTTGGATATGCTTCGAACGATGATTCTCTTATCACCTTTGCTTTATGACCACACCTCGAGGTTTACTATAAGAGAAGCAGGTAGTAACACCACCCGCAGCTTTGCAAAAGTATTTGAAATGCAATCAGAGGCTTGTGACTACCGCAATGCGTGTCTTAAAACTATCCTGATGCCACGACAATTGGTCAGATAGTTAGTATTCCAGATCGTCTTCTCCGCAGCACAAAAAACCCGGCGATGGAAAGAGCGACTAACTCCTCCAAAGAGCTGCTCCAGCTCCCCGAGAGAGAGCCACACCAGGCTCAGCTGGTCTCTTCAGCGAGTGGTGAAATAGCAGCAGGACAATAAAGCCCCGGGAGAATCTCTAGGATTCCATCCCAGCCTCTAAGAACTCGTCCTTGTACAAGCCGATGCTATGAGAGGCTACACCAGCTTGTAGACGAAGACGCGAGAACAAAAAACCGGCGCTGTAAGTGCTCCGTGAGTAGAGAATGAAGCTGCAGGACACGACCAGGTAGAGTCGTGGAACGAAGGACGTAGTGGAAGGGGAAAGTAACCAGCCACGGTTTGCTGGAATGCGCAAATGGCGAGCGCCATAATATACTCGTAAGGCATCCATACCGCAGCTTCGGAAGCCACGCAAATTGTCGTCGCAGCAGGTTGAATTTAATTTAGAGCAGTAAGAAATCAGTGTGCATGGCTCTGGGCCTTTCTTTTTTCACCTCTAATGCGCGCCATATCCTTCGATGTGCCTTTGACTTGAAGCAATTTAAAGCACAAAATTTATGTTGTATATTCTGAATTATATTGATAAGTAAATACATCAATATAAACTAAAAAATGTAACAACGAGGTGTTTGTACGGCAATCAATTGTATGGTTCCAGAATGTCTCATGAAATCTTTTTAATATAGTCATGGAACATAATCTTTTCGTACAAACTATATCCAATCAGCAATCTATTGTTGATGGTGTTGTCATTCAAATTGTGAATGATAAATATTCTAAGTTTACCAAAAAAAAACACACACACACACACATTAAACAACATCCTTTCGGATATGCTACCAATATGGTAGAATAAAAATAGATCATAAATCTTTGTAACATCACATCAGTTTTCAAAATGTATAAATTATCAACAAATATCAACACATATCAACACATTCCAAAATTTATCATAAAAATTTAAAATATTCAATTTTAAAATAAAAATACAACAGCATTTTTGGTATTTATTAAAAAAAATATTATGTCTATCTATATGTGTATAAAAATTTAGGTATTTTTCCTCATTCAATCGTCCCCTTTTAAACTTTTGACTTTAAAGGGAAAAAAATCACACATTTGCAGTAATTAGAGGAGAATAAAGCTAAAAACTATTTACTGCCAGTCAGTGCACAAGTTTAGTGAATATTGATTCATGGATCTGTGGATATTTTCCTTTCTAATGGGAATCACACTTGGAGCAACTTTTCAAACATGTAGAATCACACACTGTGAAGTAAGGAGCCAACGCCACCTCAGATTGAATGAATGGGCCTACGTGGAATTAAGTTGACCCACGCAGGTGTGAAAAAGGTTTCTGGAGATGAAGGGTGGGGCAATGGCAAAGGGCTGCTGCGCCCGGCCCAAGGCCCAAGGCTTCTCCTTTCCACTTCCACACACTACGATTAGTTTTTTATTAATAATATATAATTTTGTAGGGGACATAATGAGATCCCTATATCTAATTAATGAGGGGAACCAAAAGGACCATGTGCTGCGCCTCCCATAGAAAGGGCCACTTTTTCGTCACGAAGATGAGGCGGTGTCGAGACCACCCCATTTCATCCAAAGGGTTCAGCTGGCTTTGTGTCTCATTCATATATTTTTCTTGAGGCTTGTTGAAGAGAGTGATGGGTGGGTGTGGTGTGGTGTCAACCAAACCCTAATAATATTATCAATAACAAAAAGAATAAGACAATGAAATGATGGAATAAAGACTGGATCAACTAGATTATGGGAAGGCTTTGACCCTGTCTCAAAGATGAAGTGGCTCACAGTAATCTCACTTTTTATTCACTCATGCAGTGGCTGCTCAAATCCATATTACCATCATCATCACCAAAATAATAATAACTCTGACTATTATTTTTTTATTAATTTCATTGTATACTTTATCCTGCTCAACTTGCTGATTATTTATTTATGTTATTCTAAATGTTTTTTAAAAAATGAGGGAGGGAGGGAGGTTGTATCCAGGGAGCAGTTTCAATGATGATAATGCTTACTCATTCCTTTTCCCTTACTGAAGGTAAAATTGGAATATGGATTTTGTGGGGACATGTGAGGATAGGAGATTAGGGTGTATTTGATTGGCTTTATCTTATCTTATCCTTGGAGTTATGAGAGTTTTTCTTGTCCCTGTTGTTCCATACCCTTCTTTTATTCCAGGCCATGTGTGCTTTCCTTGATTTTCACCTATGTTTACAAAAGTTGTGAAGATCAAAACCAAATAGACTTTCTCAAAGTAACCCCCATTTTTAATTGGTATTTTTATTATTAATAATATTAGTGTTAGAGAGATGTTGGAGGTGAATCACAAAAAAGAATTGGTAAAAGAGCTATGTCAAAAAGAGAAGTTTTTGAGGATGTCAAAAAATGAAAATTATCAAAAATTGTTATGATGAAGACATCATTGAGCCATTTTAAATTAGGGTTTTCCAGCAAAAATCCCTAATTTCTCTACAACAAGGTTCAAAATATGCAATAAAAGAAGGCCTCAATGGTCTTCCTCTGCATAATTGGGGAGGCAAGTATTGGCAGTGCCTTACCCACTTCTCGCTCAAGAGTATTCTACACTCGAAGTAGTTCAACAAAGTTTGTTGAATTTGACAAGAATGGATGTTTTTGGACAAGTATGTAGATGACTTCCATCCATCCCAATTTAAAGTGGCCTAAGCACCACTCATATTTTTATTGACTATCGATTTAAGATTGAGATGGATGGATTTAATATTCCCCTTTTATATGAATATATATACATGTACACATAATGACGAAGCTGAGATTCCAGGACAGAGCTAGGATATATGGATTCATTTGTGTTGGTGTGCTAGCAGCAGGCTGCAGCATTCTCACACATAGATGTGTTTCTTCATTCATTAAATCTAAAAGCTATTTTGTCTGAGTCTTTGCTTTCCTATAGTTTGGAAAAACATGCCCCACAAACAAGCACCAAGGAGATCTTTTTATGGGGATAACTGAGCAGATCCCTGCCTTCTTTCTGACACCTGGTGTCACTTTGGTGAAAAATGCCACCAAATGATGTACAAGAGACCCACAATTGTACACATGTCTTGCCACTTGTATATTATTATTTTTACACTATTAGACTTATATTATTTTCTTGTTATGAGACAGGAACACAGATACTCACACTGTGATTAACTAAATTTCCTATTCACATGAGTACATGTATATTTTAACAGCAAAATAAATGTTTCTGATACTTTGAATTGCAGAAACGAATTACACTACGTTTGAAAAAGAGATAGTAGAACCCTTTCATGAATTCCAAGCTTGGGATAGTACCTCATGTGCACAAAAGCATATCCATTGATGGATATGAACATGATCTTCCTTTTCTCTCATAATCCTAGAAATTACTAACCCTATAAATCGCACACTTGGGTGTTAAATTAATGCCTTGGTACCCCTCCTTCCAACAACAACCATCTGAAGGCTGGCAATGAGCCTCCTGTGCATGTGGAAGCCTCCAAAAAGAAAGGAAAAGTGAAATGGAAAAGAAATAGAAAGCAAAAAAGACAAAGGGAGATGGAACTTGGCTTTAATAGAAACAAACATCCCATCTCTTGCTTTTTTGTTTCCTTTTCTTCAATTTTTTTTTACCTTTCAGAGTTTGATTTGGATCCTTTCATTTAAGTGGCTGCTTTAGATTACAATACGAAAAGTGTTAAAAAAAGGAAGGGTTGCCCATGAATTAGAACCAACATATGCCACTTACACATGGTGACAGTCTTAAAGAAAGTGATGATGACATGGGAAATAATGGATTTTGGTTTATATTTTCATGCAATTGACTCGTTCCCCAATGCACTAGTTGGGGTTCAGAGACAAGCTGGACATTAGCTGCAGGAAAACAGTGTAGGACACAACAACATACATATTTATATCCATTGTTTAATGTGATGCATGGAGGGGACTTTGGGTTGTCAGTATCTTTTCAGGGGCAAAGGGAGAATGGACTCTGCCACCTGGTTGGTGTTACTGTCCCAATATGGACAAAGCCTAGAAATGAATCTATACATTGTCATGAGAGCGCCTAGAAAGGAATGGGTGGAGGTGTGTGCAGGGAAGAGTAAGCAAGCAGTACAGCCCTATAATAAAAAACAGCCAACCTGCAGCCAGCCTCTGTGCTGGAGCTCTGCCCTCCATTGCTTTGCCTTGCCAAATTCCAGCCCTGCCAGGAGCATCTTCTACAATTAGAACAATGAAAACAACAACATTGACACATTCCTTGGCTCTCTTTTCTCTCCCTTTTTCTTTCTGGTTGATATTGTTATTGTTACTATTATTACTATTACTTTGATTATTAGTTTTGAAATACTTTTTTCCAATTGTTGAACAAATTGCAAGCAAAGATTAAGGAAGAACCCAGTGTTAGTGTGGGGTGTGTAATAAAGATATAGTGTTGGTTGATGATCAGACCCCATCCATGGGGACATGGGGTATGGGCAATCATGAAGACTTTTATATCGGATGACAAGTGCATGCATAAATGAGGAAGATTTTTTTTTTACTTGGAAGTTCATTTTGAAAAATCTTGATTCAAATGTTAGACTTTAGAATCTTTTTTGCAAAGACATGGCATATCAAAGAGGAAGAAAGGAAGTAGAATTCAAAAAGTAGTTAGTACAAGTCCAACTCAAAGAATGCAATCTACAAGACCTTGCAGCCCAACATTTCATGAAACAATCTAGAAGAACTTCGACAATTATGGAAAATAGAAGCAAGAAGGCACAAAAGTGAGAGCTTGAACTAGATAGAAAAATAGTGGAGACAAAAGAATTTTTTAAATTAATCAAGGAGAAACACTCTAGATCCAAAATTGATGAGATCATTAATGACAAAGGTTTAAAAGTGAATCCACAAAGCTTAAGTAAATGTGCTTGCTATAGTTTCTCCAATAACTTTATTCTACTATTCTTTTTATGTAAGAAAGAAGAAATGTCATGACCAATATCTTAGCTTCTATGCTTATTAAGCATTTAATTAGTATAAAAAAATTATCACTTACAAATATAGAGCATAAAAGAGCATTTAAATGACACAATTATAAGTAATAAAAAAGATAATTATTTAGAAAATTGAACTAGTGAATTAATTAAACAAGAATTTTAAAGAAGTACTTTGAGAAGAGTTGACAACTATGGATTACAAATACTTACTTGATTTGCCTTAAAATTAAAGTCCATAGTTGAAGAATTACTTAATATAATAGTATCTTTAGATATAAAATCTCTTCTTGGTTTTGATTACTTTTAAGACATTGGATATATGTAGTTAATTA